ATTATTTTGGTTACAACTAATAATACTGCGGCCGCCCCTGCGCTCCGATGAAGACCACAACCATTCCTGCTCGTATAAAACGTAATACAACTGTCAATGTTACTGACTATTCAAATAGTAGCGTCAATATAATATCCACCGCTTGTTACCACTACTGCCGTTACCGTTTAGAATTACGACCAAAAATAACACTATGTATTATCACCACCCCCACTATTACTACTATTGGTATTACTACTGCTACTACTACGATCATCACCGCCATTGCTATGAACAGCATTACGAAGCCAGTCACACTTGTCGATAGGTCGTTTATCCAGTTTTTCGAGTTTACCCAAGGTCGACGCGTCGGCCTTTTTCAGACAGGCTTCAGTTTACACAAAAACATACCAAGCAAGCATACTGTGCCATGGCTAAATGAGGATTTTTTTAGCAAACCTCCACTGCAGGACGTTTTAGACGTCTTCCTACGAAAAAACACTCATCATATTGTGAATATCGGCAAAGACTAGGAGCACAAGCGGATGGAAGGAAATAGGTACTATAATTAGAACCCAGTGGGCAAAAATATACTGGTCCAATGGCGGAGACAAGGGTCTACAAAGTGAGATGCGCCTGTCGAAGAAGACTCAGGACAGGGCCGCATTGTCAACAGCGGTGGAAGAGGCTGTGGCTTGGTCCCCAGGCTCCTCCTCATCCTCCTGGCCGCATTCCATGCGCAGGAATTCCTCCAACTGGATGTTATTTTGCTCCAGCAGGGTGCGGATGTCCATGGACTCGTCCAGGAGGAACTTCTGCAGCAGGAGACAGCGTTCGTCATCCGGATTGTCCGCCGGGGGAGACAGCTTCAGTCCCGGCCGCGGATTCATGCCCACAATGTGCTGGCAGAGCTGGAGACCCACTTGGGCAGCTCGATCTTGCCGTCCGGAGGCGGCTGCGGCCTACAAGAAGGTGGGTAGCATTAAAGCAAGGTGTGCTGCTACTGATGACAGCAAAAGTAGTAGACAAAATAAAGAAAGCTGATGGGTCGCAGCAACCGCATCTCATCGGCTGGGTGCACATTTTATTAAAGGCAGAAAGACACAAGCGGCAAAGGCGAGGGAGTCTAGGATGGCTCTTTCTGGCTTATTAGCCGTCGTCAGCTAGTCATGCCCGACTCAGGTGTTGCTCCGCCC